AACAAATAACTAAGCATCCATTTTATTTTATTAAAAATTGTTTTTAAACGTTTATTTTTGAGAGAGAGAGAGAGAGAGAGCTAGTGCGTGAGCGCCTGAGAGAGGAGGGGAGGGGCAGAGAGAGACACACACAGAATCTGAAGCAGGCTCCAGGCTCTGAGCTGTCAGCACACAGCCCGATTCAGGGCTCGAACCCACGAACCGTGAGATCATGACCTGAGATGAAGTTGGACACTCAATGGATTGAGCCACCCCAGGCACCACATAAGCATGTATTTTAAAAAACATATTCTTTGAATATTATGTTTGGAGGATAGATTTCTCCTTTTTATTACAAGGTTCATGTAAGAATGCCCTTATAACTAACGCAGCTCTTTCCACTGGATTCCAGTTCAGAGGCTCTTGTCATCAAAGCGGTGATATTGCTAAAACTTAATATTAAACATGTCTTTTGATTTAAATAAATAACTACTGTTAAAATTGTTATTTAAATCTTTAAATAGAAGTTTATGCTGAAAAACAGCAAAGTTTTAAGATAGAAATAACTGCGTGTGTGTGGGTGGGTGTATTTGCTTTTTTTTTTTTTAACATTTATTCAGTTTTGATAAACAGAGAGACAGAGCATGAGCGGGGGAGGGGCAGAGAGAGAAGAAGACACAGAATCCAAAGTAGGCTTCGGGCTCTGAGCTGTCAGCACAGAGCCTGACATGGGGCTTGAACTCAAGAACAGTGAGATCATGATCTGAGTGGAAGTCGGACTCTTAACTGACTGAGCCACCCAGGTGTCCCAACTTTTAAAATCCTACATATTACATCTAGACAAATTATTTTAAAGAGCCAAATTTGGTACATTGTAGTTTCCTGTTATAAATTATACTAAATTTTTCTGAGACTTACTTCTTAAGGAATGCCTATAGTATTTGTATATTATTTAAATGTAGAAGAGAATATTAATATAAAACATTATCAATTAAATTTTATTCAACCTGACAATATTTTCTGTATGATACATGGCATCCTAGGTATATAATTAATTTTGAATGACCACATATGGGTAGAGTTGTACTCTTTTAAGTATATAAGCAATTAATAGCGGCTATTGTTTCATTAATCTCTTTGGAGATCCTTTATTTTGGAAAGTGTAAATAATTGATTATAATAATATATTCACATCTATATTTTTAGATCTCACTTCTTTATGAAGGTAAAGATGTAGTCATTCTTAAAAAAATGACTAGTTTTGTTTATTTAGAAAGACTGTAAAAAACAGGAATCATCTGCTATTACACTCTTGTTAGGACAGCAGCACTAATCTGGTCTACTAACCTTTAAAAGAAAGTGCAACGTCAGAGATGTCAGGTTGTAGCAGTAAATATTCACTGGCAAAGTTTTTATATCAAAGATTGGAACTTTAGGAGACACTCCTGGGATTTAGTGTACTCTAACATCTATTAATCCCTGATACCTTGGGTAACTTCTCAGAAAGCACTGCATTTACAGAGAGTATGCTAGGAGGTCCAAGAAGGCACATTCAGCTAAAGGTCAGGGAAGCAATTAATGTTCTCTGCTTTTCCCTAAAGAACATCCACAGCAAATCTGCCTCCTCCCCTACCCCATTTTAGCAAGGCATGCGAATATAATGAGATGAAAGTTAAAGTTCAAGAAAAGCATATTACCAACATTATTTGGTTCTTAGAGTCCTTCTTGCATGTGAATGCATGCCATCATTGAAAAAGTGCAGTGCAATTGATTACAAGGGTGGCTTTTACTAAAAGTATTGGTTTTTCATTTCTTAAGTTTTTCTAGATCTCTGCCAAGGGTCAGTGTTTGTGGTGCTGTAGACTGGAGTGTAGACTGGGTCCTTCCTATAGTGTGCTGTTAAGTTAGAGTGTTTTGGGGGTGATACCTGGTTCTGTGTGGATCCTTGGAAGGACTCTACTGAAGGATCACAGAATTTAGGACGGGAAATCATGTTGACAGGAAGTCCTTCCTGTGACTGTGGCCTCTGAAGAAAGTTTTCAACAATGTCAAACTTGATCTACCTCCATCTTGCCATTCTGCTCCCCGAACACTAGGGAATGATGTTACTGAAGCTAAGAGGACAGAGCTGGCAATAACATCTTCTTTTAGGACTCAGGGACTCAAGACTCTCACTTCTATTCTTGCCTCAGTGCAATGGAGAAGTTTGAAAGCCACTTGAGGCTTTCACATACTCTTGAGTCCAGAATTTTTAAGACTGGCACTGGGGCCATGTATGTATTTGCATATTTTCCCCTTTGCTAAAATTTTGGAACACATTTTAAAAATAGAAGTTTGCTCACCATGAAGCTTACTTTTAGGAATAATAGACACAAAAATTGGTGTCAGATTTTGGCTTAATATTGAGAAGAATTTTCAATAGTCACATTTCCTAAATGCACCTCGTGAAGTAGCACATTTATCTTCATTGGAAATGCTGAAAGAGGTTGCACAAGCTGACTATGTAGTTTACACCCAACAGGAACATGAGCTTCCCAAATTAGGTGTAAGGTTCGGCTAGAAGGTATCTGAGGTGTTTTCCATCTTGACATTCTAGGATTCTATGACATTTTAATTTTGAGTGGTGCATCTGTTTTAAAACTTTGAATAGTTGCAATGTTGGAAACTGTGAAAGTTTTTAACTTTTTGAGATTTGGGAAATAAATTTTCTAGCAGGAGCTTATTTTCTATGAAGACCAGAATGAGAAGTTTTTATACTGCTCCCCAGTTTTTTGGAAATACTTGTATTTGTTATTTGTTTATTTACTTGCTTATTTTTGGATCTCAGGACTGAGGTGTGAGTTAATCATCCCCATCAGGTCATGATGCACTCTCATCAGGCAAGACTCCACTGTTGTATGTATATCTGTCTGTATGTTCCTTCCTTCCTTCCTTCCTTCCTTCCTTCCTTCCTTCCTTCCTTCCTTCCTTCCCTCCCCCCCCCCCCCCCCCCCTCCCCTCCCCACCCCCCCCCTCCCCCCCCCTCCCCCCCCCCCCCTCCCCCTCCCCCCCCTCCCCTCCCCTCTCCTCCCCTTCCCTCCCCTCCCCTCCCCTCCCCTCCCCTCCTTCTTCTTTTACCTGTTAAGAACTATGTTGAAGAGAACTAGACCCGGATTCAGTGCTGAGGTGGGGGAAGTGGCCAGAAGGACTAGCCAGACTCAAAAGCACACAAAAGACTTGAAAAGTCAATGGAATTTAATGATTGGTATAAGAAATAAATAGCTTCTCCGTTAATGCAAATCATAGATCAAAGGTTAAACTTAAGACAGTTCCTTTGTGAAGACATCCCTTAGTAACCACCACCATGGTGAGTTACCCCTTCTTTATTTAACTCTGGAATTTTCTTTTATTCCCCAGCTTTACTGAGGCATAATCGACTATTAAATAGAGGTTATATACATTTAAGATGTATGATTGATGTTTTGAGATATATATATATATATATATATATGTATACATATATACATACACACACCCTTATATATTATATATATGTATAGATATATATTATATATATGTATGTATATATATGTATATATATTACATATATGTAAAAATAGATATATATGTCTGTATGTATAGATATATAGAAATGAACATGACAAGCTAATTAACATATCCATCACTTCACGTTGTTACTGTTTTTCTTTTTATAAGAACACTTAAGATCTACTCTCTTAGCAAATTTCAAGTATTCATTATTATTAACTGTAGTCACCATGCTCTACATTGGATCTCTAGAACTATTCATCTTGCATAAAGGAAACTTTGTACCCTTTGACCACTATCTCCCCCTTGCCCCTAGCCCTGCCCCTGGCAATCGCCGTTCTACTCTCTGCTTCTATGAGGAAGTATAGAATTTTCTGTCTGGTACCTCACAATCCAGTATTTTTGTTTACATGGTGATCTTGTTTTATTATTAGTTTCATGACCAAAGTACAATAACAGTTATAATAATGATAATAATTTATCAAGCTTTAGGTAGCAGTCAAGGTGCTAAGCACTTTACATGAATCATCTTATTTAAAGCTCCCAACACTATTTGATGTAGATTCTTCTGTCACGTTTTACAAATAAGGAAATAGAGACTTAGAGGTGTGTATCTTGCTCCGTAACTAATTTAACTTCTTAGAGATGGCTAGTTTTTAAAAGTTACATTATAGCTTTTTAGGAGTAGAGATGGAGCTTTGGAGCCACCAAAAGAATTCAAATTTAGCTCCTTCATTTACAAGTTGCGTGAGCTTGGTCAAGTTATTAAAGCTCTCTGAATTTTAGTTTTGTTATCTGTAAAAGTACAAAGAATAATGCCTTACCTCACAAAACTGTTGCAAAAATTACATGAAATAAAAGAAATTACATGAAGTAACATATATAATATATTTAACATGGTCTGGCATGTTTAAAATGTGCTCAGTAACTGGTGATGTTGCCTATGAACCTTATGCAGTGTCCTGGATATTAAGATGCCGTTAATTGCCCCAAAGTAATGTACTTAAAATAAGTAATAATAAAATAATACAAGGGTATATTGTTGGGTGGTATTGAATATCTTTTGTCATAAAGGGAATACTATGATGCATTTTTGAAATAGCTGCAATTGCATTGTGTAGCCAATATGAATAGTCAAGATCTTATGTTTCATCGCCAATCTTTCTCTTGTTTTAGATAAATAGATTGGTAGCTTTTGAAAATCATTGCTTTTTAAAAAAATATCAATTATTGTTTGTTTCACATGGCTTTGCAGAAATGAATAATGGTGATTTCAACTTTGGTGAAAATCAGAAAGCTGTGGACATATGAAATGTTAGCTTGTAGTATGAGTTATTTTAAAATAGTTCACCTTGCTATTATACTGCAGATAAGGTCAATGAATATTCAAAAGTAACTTAGAATAAGTAGAAATGCTACATTTCCATCAGTTCTTTTTCCTGGTTTTTACTAACACAACAACCACAACCATTAACTTCTTCTTTTCCTTTCAGAGAAGAGAGATGATGACAGCAAGAAAGTGGTTGCAGAGATCATGGCAAGATGTTTTGTTCCAAGTTTAATAACAACCACCTCCTGGGAGGGATTTCATTTTGTTGGTCATGAGATTCGAATTACTGAAGCCATGGATTCTTACGGTGCTGTTGTTTGGCCATCGGTATAATTTCACATAGAATTTGCTACCTTTCAATGATTTTTCAGCCAGTTTTGGTCATTACTGTGTACTATTTGGAAGAAAGACAATAGGTTCTATTGTTCTCGTTTATGACCTCAAACAGCACTAAAACTTGGGAAAACACTTTCAGCAATCAGTTCTATTTTTGACTTGAAGGGTTGATTGACAACAAGCACTGTTTACACTGCCGGTGTTTTGTGACCATTGGAGTTTACAATAGCAAACATTTTTATTTCCCATTAAAACTGGCTCCATTTGAGTTAAATAGTCATAATGAAATCTATTAGTCTCAACATGCAGAGTGTTCTAAAATGTCACCAATCCTTTACCAATTGTCCATGAAGGGGACAGACCACCCCCTACCACTGTCTGCCCCAATCCCACACACTTCTTTGAAATGACTATTATTATTAGAAGTTGCTTTCTTTGTTTTATTTTATTTTTTAAAAATGTTTATTTATTTTTGAGAGAGCACGAGTAGAGGAGGGGCAGAGAGAGAGAATCCCAAGCAGGCATCACTGTCAGCACAGAGCCTGAAACGGGCCTTGAACCTACGAGCCATGATCATGACCTGAGCGGAAGTTGGTCATTCAACTGACTGAGCCACCCAGGCACCCCAGAAGTTGCTGTCTTTAAAGATAATCAGGGGCATCTGGGTGACTCAGCTGGTTGAGCATCTGACTTAGGCTCAGGTCATGATCTTGCAGTTCATGAGTTTGAGCCCCGTGTTGGGCTCTGTGCTGACAGCTCAGAGCCTGGAGCCTGCTTCGGATTCTGTGTCTCCCTCTCTCCACCCGCCCCCTTCTTCTGCTCTGTCTCTCTCTCAAAAATAAAAAGAAAAAACATTAAAAAAAATTTAAAGATAATCAAACCTACACAATTGAGTTCCATAGTTTCATTTTTCTTATCTCCCCAACAGTACCCAAGGACTTTTTCTAGTCTAAATATTGAACCTATTGGAGGATGTACCTCTGTTGTGATGTGTACGTACACACACACATGTTCACACATGTACATACATATAGTATTAGTGTATATGGTGTATTTATCTAATAGACTTTAATTTCAGTGTCTGTTGTTATTTGCCGAGCACTTTTTTTTTTTTTTTTAACTTTCATAGGCCCTTGTTCTATGCTATTTTCTGGAAACAAATGTAAAGCACTATAATATGGTTGACAAAAATGTGATTGAAATTGGAGCTGGAACAGGGCTGGTCTCCATCGTGGCAAGTTTACTTGGTAAGTAAGGACTCTTGATTGAATGGGGTCAGAGAATTACATGATCAGATGCAATTACTTGCTTTTGCTGTCTAGTTTACTATAACCTAGGCTAATTTTTAGCTCCTTAATTGTTTGAATGGGCTTCATCAAGACACACTGCCAATTTTATTTATTTATTTTTTTGTTTGTTTGTTTTGAGACAGAGACAGAGACAGCGAGTGGGGAGGGGCAGAGAGGGAGAGAGAGAATCTCAAGCAGGCTCTACACTGTCAGCGCAGAGTTTGATGTGGGGCTCGAACTCACGAAACCGCGAGATCATGACCTGAGCTGAAACCAAGAGCTAGACACTTAAGCGACTGAGTCACCCAGGCATTCTGAAACACTGCCAATTTTAAAGTCACCTTACTGGTTTCTTTCAGAATTTTCTGTGAAGTTGTATTAATTCTGCTCATGGAGAACCAAGTCACGAGTGTATTGTAACTGGGAGCTGTGTTCAGGCCTCCTGGCTGCTAGGGGAGTCATGTGGGATACAAGGCCCAGGGGGATGTCTTGCGCTGGCTCTGGCCATCTTTGTTTAAATGGTAGCCCTGTTTCAACATTCCTGAGCAGCCAGATATTCCTTTTGGGTTTTGGAGCCCTGTGCTTTTGTGAAAAAGCACCTGTTGGAAGAGAGAAGGAGTATTATCAATCATGTCTGCTTCTAATTTTAGGTGTTTCCCCTTGAATTTCTTTTCCCAGCTCATCTCTGTTCTTTTTCTGGGACCCCTTCTTCTCTTACCAGTGTTCCTTTGTCTCATGGAATGTGTGACAGTCTCTACATACGCCTGAGCCTGCTTCACTTCCTCTCTTGTTGTTACCTGTTGCATTGCCTCTGTTTAGCTGCCTTCTCTGATGGGTGCTCCCCAGGTCTGTCTTGGTTTCCTTGATCTTTAGAAGTGCACACCTGCCAGTCTACAATCTTGAGAGGAATTCAAAATTTAGCAATTTACAATTTTCTAAATGCTGGGGAAATATAGGACCCTTGAAGTCTTCCATATATATTTTAAAATTGCTTCTTCAGATATTGCTTTCTGAAGTCAGTATTCCATTTAGTATGGGTACTCAGAGAGGTACTACTGGATTTGTACCCAAAGGCTTCCTGATCAGGAGCACATTTGTGCTTCAGAAAGTCATTTGTTCCATTAAAAATAATTGGTCCTTTTAGGCTACTTGTATAACAACACAAATAACAAAAGATGGAGACAGATGGTGTTCTGCTCTCTAGACACAAAGATCTTCATAGTCAGGTAGTTCATATTCACTCTGGGCAGTTGGGGGTGGTGGTGGGAGGAGGCCTTCCTGATCTTGGGATTTTAAAGAGGTTTGTTGAAAATGATAGACCCACCCACACTAGAATGTGACAATTCATATTTCTCTGATTCTACCAATGATACGCATGTTTCATATTTCCCACAAAACATAATCAATGGCCAGAGAAACTTGTCATCGTGAGTAAGGAGTGGTTTCTTAACTGGTCTGGGCTGTGCTATACTTCTCTCCCAGTTCTGCTTTCTTATTTCTTATACCAGTCTTTTCTTGTCTCATGATGTGGAATTGGCCAGTCCCTAGATTTATTTACACGTTATATTCAGTCTCTGCTACTGCTCAAATTTTACTTTAAGGGCCAAATTTTATTGGTTATTTGTTTTTACAATTTTGCCTGTTCCAATTTCTTCCTGAAAATGACCACTACTATTCGCTTTTCACTCAGAGGCTGTGCACATCTTCTTCATACGAGTATTCTGTCCTGCATCTGTGGTCCTTGGCTGTAGGAACACTATGTGTGTGTCAGGGCTAGGTTTTAAACATCTTTTGATGGGAAGATTCATATTTGTAAAGTGGTCAAGCTGAGAACTTGGGCATAAACATGGATGTCATGACATTTCCAATGTAATTGCATTAAAAATTCTTTCTGCACCTGAGTGCCTCCTGTTCAATGATAGAATGCCCATGTAATATACCCTCATTTCGGTTCACATGACTTGGGCTCAGCATTCTTTTAGCAAATAACCTATGCACTGCAAATAACCTATGTACTGAAATAACCTATTTCAGCAGTGACTTCTGATTTTTCCATTGAGGGTTCCAAATACTTTTTTCTTTAATTTTTATTATTTTATTTTAAATTTATTTATTTTTAAATTTACATTCAAGTTAGTTAGCATATAGTGTAACAATGATTTCAGGAGTATATTCCTTAATGTCCCTTACGCATTTAGCCCATCCCTCCTCCCACAACCCCTCCGGCAACCCTCTGTTTATTCTCCATATTTAAGAGTCTCTTATATTTTGTCTCCCTCCCTGTTTTTATATTATTTTTGCTTCCCTTCCCTTATGTTCATCTGTTTTGTATCTTAAATTCTTCATGTGAATGAAGCCAAATGATATTTGTCTTTCTCTAATTTTGTTTGCATTAATACCCTCTAGTTTCATCCACACAGTTGCAAATGGCAAGATTGCATCCTTTTTGATTGAAGAGTAATACTTCATTGTACATATATACCACATCTTCTTTATCCATTCATCCATCAATGGACATTTGGGCTCTTTCCATACTTTGGCTATTGTTGATAGTGCTGCTATAAACATGGGGGTGCATGTGTCCCTTCGAAACAGCACACCTGTATCCCGTGGATAAATGCCTAGTAGTGCAATTGCTGGGTCGTAGGGTAGTTCTATTTTTAATTTTTTGAGGAGCCTCCATACTGTTTTCCAGAGTGGCTCCACCAGCTTGCATTCCCACCAGCAGTGCAAGAGATCCTCTCTCTCTGCATCCTTGCCAACATGTTGTTGCCTGAGTTGTTAATGTTAGCCATTCTGACAGGTGTGAGGTGGTATCTCATTGCGGTTTTGATTTGTATTTCCTTGTGGATGAGTGATGTGGAGCATTTTTTCATGTGTCGGCTGGCCATCTGGATGTCTTCTTTGGAGAAGTGTCTATTCATGTCTTCTGACCATTTCTTCACTGGATTATTCACTGTTTGGGTGTTGAGTTTGATAAGTTCTTTATAGATTTTGGATCCTAACCTTTTGTCTGATATGTCATTTGCAAATATCTTCTCCTATTCTGTCGGTTGCCTTTTAGTTTTGCTGATTGTTTCCTTGGCTGTGAGAGATTTTTTATTTTGATGAGGTCCCAATATTTCATTTTTGCTTTTGTTTCCCTTGCCTCTGGAGACGTGTTGAGTAAGAAGTTGCTACGGCCAGGATCAAAGAGGTTTTTGCCTGCTTTCTCCTTGAGGATTTTGATGGCTTCCTTACATTGTCTTACATTGAGGTCTTTCATCCATTTTGAGTTTATTTTGGTGTCTGGTGTAAGAAAGTGGCCCAGGTTCATCCTGCATGTCGCTATCCAGTTTTCCCAGCACCACTTGCTGAAGAGACTGTCTTTATTCCATTGGATATTCTTTCCTGCTTTGTCAAAGATTAGTTGGCCATACACTTGTGGGTCCATTTCTGGGTTTTCTATTCTGTTCCATTGATCTGAGTGCCTATTTTTGTGCCAGTACCATACTATCTTGATGATTACAGCTTTGTTATACAACTTGAAGTCTGGGATTGTGATGCTTCCAGCTTTGGTTTTCTTTTTCAAGATTGCTTGGCTATTCGGGGTCTTTTCTGGTTCCATACAAATTTTAGGATTATTTGTTCTAGCTCTGTGAGGAATGCTGGTGTTATTTTGATACGTATTGCATTGAATATGTAGATTGCTTCGGGTAGTGTTGACGTTTTATCAATATTTGTTTTTCCTATCCAGGAGCATGGAATCTTTTTTCCATTTTTTTGTGTCTTCTTCAATTTCTTTCATAAGCTTTCTATAGTTTTCAGTGTATAGATTTTTTATCTCTTTGGCTAGATTTATTCCTAGGTATTTTATGGTTTTTGATGCAGGAGTTTCCAAATCCTTTGACTTTTCCCTTTCTCTAGATTATTTTTCTCCTAGCGTATAGTAAATAGAAAATAACAACAGAAATAATAATAAAACAAAAACCCCAGGAGAACAGAAAATGCAATGGAGTGCAAAAGTACCATGGGAATCTAATTTTTTTTAAGGGGATGTATAAGGCTACTTTAGCATCTGTTTTGAAGAGATTTCCTTCCTGTGTGTAGTGACCAGTCTTTTCCGTGGGGTTAGCGATTGTGCAGAATTGTAAATGCATGTTGGCCTGAAACCTGATTGCTTTACCTTATCCCTTGAGGGTTACTTTTCCTACTGTTCTTTGTTTCATAGGTGCACATGTGACTGCCACAGATTTACCTGAATTACTTGGAAACCTGCAATATAATATTTCCCGAAACACCAAAATGAAATGTAAGCATTTGCCTCAGGTTAAAGAACTCTCCTGGGGTGTAGCTTTAGATGAGAACTTCCCCAGATCTTCCAACAATTTTGACTACATTCTGGCAGCTGATGTTGTCTACGCTCATCCTTTCCTGGAAGAACTCCTCGTTACCTTTGACCATCTGTGCAAAGAAACTACCGTCATCCTCTGGGTCATGAAATTCAGGTTGGAGAAGGAAAATAAATTTGTAGATAGATTTAAGGAGTTATTTGACCTGGAGGAGATTTCCAGTTTCCCCAGCCTGAATATTAAGTTGTATAAAGCTGTGAAGAAAAGCCGGAGGAGTGCAAGGAAAGGAAAGGTGGTTTCCAGAAGAGTGTTCCTTTAAAGAAGACCCTGGATGATCTGATGTAGCAGTGACTTTCCCAAGTCACTTGCCTCATACACTTGCCTCACCCCAGACAGGAATTTTCCCACATATAGCACCTGAGTCTAGAAGATGGCTAAGCCGTACCGTGTGGTCATTGGTTAGGACACAGTCGACTTTTCTTATCCCTCAATAGCACCATTTATTATTATTATCATTTTATTAAATGGTACTATTGTTTTTAATGTGTAATTGTAGGATAATTTTTAATATCTCTAAAATGAGCATTGCTATTGCTTTAGACATGAGCTTATCTGATTCTTTAGAAATAAAGAAATGGATTACAATGGGATCTGCAAGTAAATCTGAAAAGGCAGATACATAATATAATGGTAACTAGGAGATTAATTTTGTGGTTTTCCTTAGTGCCACCTTATAGGTGGTCGATGGTCTCTCCTTGGCAGGGTAGGCCTCAAGCACAACCTCTGAAATCAATCATGCATGTGGAGCTGAGGTTACAGGCACGGACATTTCATTCTAGTAAATGAAAAATGACTGGAGGCCAGCATTAACACAGTTGAGATTTTGGAGAAGTAATTGTTTAATTTTCAAGCCATGTACAGTTATGTTGTATCACAGAGAGAGAAATAAATATACAAACTTTGGGTTGAAAATACACATGAAAAGATTTGGGCTCCTAAACTCAAATCACCAGATACAGGGTTGGTTTTAAAGTTTAAAGCTTTTCTGATGCACATATATAGACCTGGATACCTGAAATCCTACGTGATTTTCTTCACACAGACCTTAGAGATTAGAACAAAGACCGATGTAATTAAAGTCAGTGCAAGGAGGGTAAAAAACGAGGATTCTGTACCAGTGGTTCAGATTCCATTGGTTTGTGGTTATCACTTTTGTGATGTTCCTCAGGCTGGTACTTCTCCTAAGCCCAGCCCTGTGCTTTGCTTGAAGTTGTCAGCCACTCAGGGTCCAGCAGAGCTGACAGAAGGACTTCCTAGGGTCCTGATGTGTAAGAAGGAGGCTGATGTACTCCCAGTGGGTTTTTGGCTGTGCAGCCCATAGGGCTGTCTCCCAGGGACTCCTGACATTTACGTGGTCTTTTCTGGTTTCACAGTCCATTACTACATAAAGTTGTGTGATCCTCACAACTTTTCTAGGAAGTCTAGGGACTATCATTATCCCTGCCTCACATGCAGCCTTGCTGGAGCTGTGAGGGTGGTCACCTGCCCCAAGCACACAGCTCCAGAGGGTGGGCCTCAGACCCAGCTTGTCTGAGAAGAGGGCCTGTGTTCTTTAAGTTTATTTATTTATTTTGAGACAGAGAGTGAGAGAGAGTGAGTGAGCATGCATACATGAGCAGGGGAGGGGTAGAGAGAGAGGGAGAGAGAGAATCCCAAGCAGACTCTGCACTGTCAGCACAGATACTGACGGGGGGGTCGATCTCACAAGCTGTGAGATCATGATCTGAGCCGAAGTCAAGAGTCTAGACGCTTAACCGACTGAGTCACCCAGGTGTCCCTAGGGCCTGTGTTCTTCACAACTGCACTGCTTTTATGTAGTTAGAACAGCAGTTTTCAAGCTCCTTTGTAAATGGGTGAAGTCATCTCTTCAAAATGGGATCAGTCCCCAGAAAGGTAAGCAAAGACATTAGGAGAATGAGAACCGCCCTTCCTTATATTTTTCCTTGTTTCTTGCCTTAACTGGGTGGTTCGTGCAGGTGCATTTGGAAAGTGACATTTAAGCAAAGCAGGAAGGAGGTGAGGGAAGAAGCGGTGCATATATCCAGGGAAGTGTGTTCTACGCAGAAGGGGCAGCCAGGCCAGGACCTTAAGACAGGAGCGTGCCAGTCCTTGAGCAGAAACAGCGAAGGCCAGTGTGCTTTGGAGCAGGGCGAGGGGGGACGCTGGTTAGTCAGAGGGGCTGAGGGGGCCAGGTCATGTCTGATCATCACTGCAGGCTGGCTTCTTCAGAAGCAGACTCTGAGGTGGTGTCTTGTTCACCAGTTCTTGATCAGGGGGTGCTTGTTGGTATCTAGATTTGTGGAAAGGGGTGGGACAGAAGGTCGAGCTGCAGTGCAGGCCTGGCCCCATGGGGCCCTGAACTGAGAATGGCCTGAATGGCCGTGTTGGGCCTTGATGACTCCACATCACTCAGTCACTGGATGCACTGGATGCACGCTGCCCTGTGACCTCGTGTGAGGTGACCCTTCGGCATCCCCAAGGATGCTGACAGCTGAGGTCCGTCTACTGCAGCACTTCGAGCAGCCAGGTAAGAAGTTTTCCGGAAGGGGACTTGGGCAACACATCATCACAGTGTGCACCACTGCCTCTAGGGCCACTGAAAGCACTTGGGCTTTTTTCCAGTGAAGTGGAGAATCGATGGATGATTGCAGTAGAGGGAGACAGCATCAGTCCGGGTGAGGACCACGCTGGCTGCTGTTTGGAGAATACTGTGAAGTGGCCAAGGGACCGGTTAGGAGGTTGTGGCAGCCGTCCAGGTAACCAAGAGGGTGGAGCCCGCAGCAAGAATGAGCCCTAGAGGTGGTGAGAAGTGGTCATTTGTAGAAGCATTTGGAAGCCGGAGCCAACAGACATTCCCTCCGTGCCAAGGAGTCAAAGGTGATTCTAAAGTGTTTGAGCCCAGCTATTCGATGTAACGTTAGAGTCCTCAGCTTAGAGATGGTTTGTAAAGCTCGTTCATGGAGCAAGAGGAAAGAGAAGAAGGCAGGGATGGAGCCCCGAGGCTGGCCAACATGAGGAGCACACATAGGTGTCTTTGGGATTTATTTGAGCTTGTGCCCCTCACCCACAAGTTATGATAGTATCTGTTGACTCTTGAAACCACAGCAGTTTCAAACGGGTCAGCAGAGTTCAAAATCTCCTCACAGCTGACTCTCGAGCTTCTAGGACGGTTTTAGCTGTGGTGGCAGGAATCCAGGGCTAACACGTGAATACAATGGCTCCTCTGCTAAATGTTTGACTATCACTACCCAGCTATTTTTAGGTAGGATAGATAAAGTGTCCTTCTTTTCCAAGACCAAGTTAGGACCAAGCCAGCCATATGGTTCTTCTTTTCCTAAGTGTCAGTCTGTCAAATGCAACGTTCCATAGCCATTGTTTTATTCTGTTTATAGCATTCACTTGCAAATTTTAACACCCACCCACACACACTGTGTGCCTGTCTACTTTTATCTTTTTGCTTTAGGTTCTCCACACTTGTCTAGATTCAGTTTCATAATAATTTGATTTCAAAAGATGTCATTTGAGGAAGTCTTTTCTATCTTACAAGTTTATTTTATGGCTAGGAGTTGATTTGTTAACTTTAGTCCAAGGTAGTTTATGAATTTTGCCTTTACTCCACTTTTTCTGTGTGTGTGTGTGTGTGTGTGTGTGTGTGTGTGTGTGTGTGTGCTTTTTTTTTTGACAAGTTAAACTATGCTACTGAAAACCTAGTCCAATTCTTGCAGTGACTTTCCAGATTTCTAATAGAATAAACACACTGTCAAGGTTTTAATAGAGGGTTATCATAGAATAGTTGTTGCTTCACAGCAGACGTACCAACTTGCTAGCGATTCTCTGCAGCTTAAAATTTACGGGGGCACCTGGGGGGCTCAGTCGGTTGGGTTTTTGACTTCGGCTTAGGTCATAGATCTCTCCATTCATGAGTTCAAGCCCCACGTCAGGCTCTGTGCTGACAGCTCAGAACCTGGAGCTTGCTTTGGAGTCTGTGTCTCCCTCTCTCTCTGCCCCTCCCCCGCTCACACTCTGTCTCTGTCTCTCTCTCAAAAATAAATAGACATTAAAAAAATTAAGAAAAATTTACATGTTACACACAGGTAAACACAAAAAATTGCTGTGCCCCAGCCAGTATCAATTGACTTTAGGAAACTACATACTATACAAAAATCTTCTATTTTAGAATTTACTGATATGTCCTATTTCACTTGTGCCAATTTTTGTCAACCAGAATTAAAAAAAAATTGGTTTCTATTCCATATTTATATTCTTTTTTTGGGATAAAGATTTGTGGTATTGGGTAACTTCTGAACAGATTTGGAGCCAATGGTATAAATTCATTATTGTGGAAGAAACAGGAAAGGAAACATAACAGAATGTTCCTTTATTTTATTTTATGTTATGTTATGTTATTTTATTTTATTTTATTTTATTTTATTTTATTTTAATTTATTTTAATTTAATTTTTTTAAATCCTTGGGTTCCAGGAGCATGAAGTTCTCTGTAAGTGCCTGGTCTTTGTGGGCAGAGACCGTTTCCAACTTGTTTTAGTTGTTTTATTTTTTTATTTAAAAATTTTTATTTTATTTTTTTAATGTTCATTTATTTTTTGAGAGAGAGAGATACAGGGCGAGCAGGGGAGGAGCAGAGAGAGGGAGACACAGAATCTGAAGCAGGCTCCTGGCTCCGAGCTGTCGGCACAGAGCCTGATGCAGGGCTCAAACCCATAAGCTGTGAGATCATGACCTGAGCTGAAGTCGGATGCCCAACCAACTGAGCCACACAGGCACCCCTCCAACTTGTTTTAAACAGTACCATTGGTGTATGGGCAGGTAAATCATTTCTGAATATCCTTTGGAAGTAAAATATATCCACTGGGTAGGATTTTCATACAAGAAAAGATTTACATGTACCAACATTGAAAGCAAACTGGGAACCTTGGGCTTCAGAAATAAAAGATTAAAAAAATGTTTTTTTTAATGTTTATTTATTTTTGAGAGAGAGAGAGAGAGAGAAAACGTGAGCAGGGGAAGGGTAAAGAGAGAGGGAGACATAGAATCTGAAGCAGGCTCCGGGCTCTGAGCTGTCAGCACAGAGCCTGATGCGGGGCTCTAACTCATGAACCATGAGATCATGACCTGAGCCAAAGTCGGTCGCTTAACCAACTGAGCCAACCTGTTTCCTCTAGAAATAAAAGATTTAAAGTCAACCTTAAGTAGATCAGATGGGTTTATTGATACGCTTAGAAGAAAATTAATAACCTGTGCCTCCTCCTTCATTGAAACTTAGTTTTCAATGAAGTCTGCATGTGGACGAAAATAATTGTCAAATATGTGCATTTTTTTCCTCCATCAAATTATAAGGCAAAAATAAGAAAGAAGATTGGGCCTGGAACAGATAAATAATTTCACGCAGTGCAGGGGGATACAGGCAAAGCAAGATTTAAAAACCATAGACGCTTGTGAGTGTGTGTGTGGATCCAGTTCTTTAGGTCTTCTTTCTGGAGCCTGGAAATTGTTCACAAATGGTTTCCACATCCGGGTTTTG